AACCATTAGCCAAATCAAAAACTTAAAAATCAAAGTAAATTAAGCACGTTAAAGTTTACCTGTAAAAATCAGTAATACTCAAGCAGTTAGTTACCTAAAACAGTCTGAACAAACGTTACACGTCTGAATTGATATGAAAAAAAATTACGTTAGGATATGTAAAAAAATTTTAACCTTATAAATTTCTCCAGGTAAACAGTTGTTAACGTGAATTTTTCATGTTAGGAGAGCCAAAAAAACAGATCCTGAACTTTTTTCGCGTCGCATAAATTTTCCCGTTGTTTTGTGTTTTGTTCTTCCGGTTGAAAAAAATTCCCCATCACTTCAAATTCCACTTTCAAAAATAAATAACTTTGGCGTTTGAGAAGATTGTGAGATAAAATGAAATTCCAGGGGTTTGAGAATGATCCATAAAAATGTCATTGGGTAAGAAGGTTACCGGCAGAAGCAGGTAAGGAAGGGTTCCGCAGCATTTAAACTGACGTAACTTGTCAAATGAAGCGGCGGCAGGGGCGTTCAGTTGGCCGAGTTTTCCTGGTGAACAAGGCCCACATGACCATCACCACTCAAAGGCAACATGGTGAGACAGCCGAATTAGCCCAATTGGTTTTTCAAAGCGGGATTAAACTTCAAAAAGAGAGCTATTTCATAATCCCAAAATTTCAATTCAAAATATTTTAAGTGACACCAGAAAATGTGTTGAAATACCGGTTGGGGATGTTATCATTGATATTTTCATTATCTTGTTGTTCGGATGATCATCATTCTTCATCATTTCAGTTTCGATATGATGTGATTGAGTTTTTAGTAGTAATTATTATCAAAATGTTATGCATGGTGGTCCAGGCAGCATAGGTGCGGCCCCGGGGAAGGACAGTGGTCCCGCGCGAAACGATGATCGAGAAAAGAAAGAACTAGAAAGTGCGAGGCAGCATAAGAAGACCCAGCATAAAACAAACTAGTGAGAGATAGCTTAAAAAAATTGCAGGAAAAAAAAAGAAAAAATCCGTTAAAAATTGTCAGTAAGGATTTTAAGACGTTTGTAGTAAGAAAACGAGCAAAAAAAAACATTTAATTTTAAACGGAAAGAATAGTGCGTTTGAAAATATATAAGGGTGAATTTCTGTGTAAAAAAAGGGAAAAATTAAACTTGTAAAGTTTGTCATTAATTGGCATAAAAAACACGTAAATATAAAAGACAGGCAGTTAGTGGAGATGTTACAAAGGTATAATTTTCGTAAGATTTGTTTTACTGTTTTTAATTTTCACTATTTTTTAAAAAACGGAAAAAAAAAAACTGTTTAAGAAGTTAGATAAAGGTTTTTACTGGAAATATGAATTTCTTTTAGGAGTTTCGGCGGGTGAAGATCTGGGGTGTGGGTGTTGTGGAGTCAATGGGTTGTCCGGCAGAAAAAAAAAACAAGCCTTGCTCTTGTTCCGGTTTCGTATTAACAAGATGAGAGAACAGCGCTGCTCTGTCCTTTCTTGTATAAAAACAAAAGAGAAAGGACGGGGAGGCAGGCTGTTTTTCTTTGCTGCGGAAAAATGGCCATCAAACTCCACAACGCCACCAAAGGAACCAGTCTCCAAACCGCCGCAAACAACCAAGGAGCTTGGTTTAAAAACTTCCTACTACGAAACGCACAAACTTTTGCACCATTTATTATTATTCCAAACGTGACAGGTTAAGTTTTTAAGTTTTTTAGTTTTAGCCAAAGTTTTAAATCTTTCTGTTTTCCATTATTTTTGTCTTGCCACTCCATGGGTCCTTAACTTGAACAATGCATAGTGGTACGATACTTTCATTTATAGTCTTTATATCTCTATTAGGGTATTTGCTAGGAATATGTGATATCTCGTTGTTCCTCCTGTTTTGCACTCTTTGCCCAATTGCTCCTGTGCTCGAACCTGGAGTTGTCTCCTAAGGGGGGATACAATAAAGGAATATCGCAGATCCTTTATCGTTAATCTTAATTATATGGTATTGCTCTTCGTTTGGGGTGCTTTTTGGAGAACGTAGACGTTTTCTCAAAAACATAAACCTTCTCGCACAAAACCTTTCTATTACTTTTATTCGGCTATGACTAATGATCTGTTGGGTACTAGTACGTAATGTTACAGGTAGAATATACTGCAATGTTTCAATATAATTTGTTAAGTGTCCCACACAAGATGCTGAACTCCCCACTAGTGACGTACGGCTGGACTCAAATAACCACTGAAAGGGTCCATCCTTACCCTGAGGTCTGTAACAAGAAAGCACGAGGTTGGACTGGTAGGATAAACGCAGTCTATTCTCAGCAGCATCCCTGCGCCCTCAAACCATCTGAAGATCCAGTGGCTGTCCAAAATCATCAGCAGATCAATTCATATGCCAAATTACTCTGAGAACGGAATGTGAGGCTAAATTTGAGGTAAGGCTTGTAAAAAGCTCTGCGTCGATGAAAAAAATTTCCCCCTGGGAAGTGAGACTCGGCAATCACCTATCATTCTTCGTTTGTGTATCCAGGCCCTGGCGTGGATTCTGCAAGAGAATACTCATTAGAGCACTAGAGGAGCAGAAGGAACCTGATTTCACAGTTACTCTGCCTCATGTACTGACTGTTCAGGATATAGTTGAAATGTTCAGCAAAGATGACAACAACTATATTTAAAAAAAATGAGCTCCTTTTACTACTGCAGCTTTAAAATAACCACGTATCTACCATATCTTCTCAGAAGAGATGTCTGACGAGAATCTAGAAGATGTGTGCACATTTCAGTAGGATCTCAAAACATGTTACAACCCAGAGCAGGCCAACAAAGGAGTATGGACATCCTTGAAGCCAGATGACACTGGTACAGATCAGGGCCAGGCCCTCGATCATCAGGACTAGCCTGAGTATGCAGGAGAACCCAGATGAAACCGAGCGCCGACACCACCTGATGGATTCCTGCTCCTTTTTCGTGGTCTGTCTATGAAAAAATGATTTGTTTTAGGAAGAAGTTAGAGATAAGAAAAGCAAAAAGATCCGCTCCAATTCTCCAATCGTTTCTTAGCTAAAAGAGTATTTCAGAAGCTAACATCAATCAATGTCAATTCAATCTATTGGTATAGCGTTCAATTCATAACAGAAGTTATCTCAGGACACTTTCCAGGAAATAGAAGCACGGTCCTAGACCAAGAACTGCCTTTTTAACATTTGAGAGGACCCAACAGTACCACCAGTGAGCAGAACCGGGGGCAAGGAAAAAACTGCCTGTAAGGCGAGGCAGAAACCTAGACAGACCCTTCGGCTGCTTAGGTGGTGACGTCTGACCAGTTGGGGTGGATGAGAGAATTAGAGAGAGAGAGAGGAGAAGAGAGAGAGAGGACAGACAGACAGACAGGTGTACAGCAACAACACAACAACAGTAACAACAACTACACTAATAGTAGTGACTAAATGAATAGCAGTTCTAAACTGGGTTAGTTTGTGAGTAAAGATGCTGTGAATGGCAACATTAACAAACTTCTACCGAGTTTTTACGTATATCTTTGTTCAGAAATACCACTGGGACACTGGGTTCATTATTCATTCATTTGTTGGTAATGCCTCGCGGCTCCGGTAGGGGGAGCTCGCGCTCAGACGGGTGAGTGCGCGAGAGCAGTGTATCGGTCTCTGTCGTCTCTGAACCTTTTTACTGCTAATATTCTCCTTTAAGGTAATTAATGTCCACAAAGCACTACAGACTCATGGGCATGTGTTAACGATACTGTGTCTATGTTATTGTTGTTGTTATATAAAGGAAAGATATGTTTTTATGTTGGTATGTTGTTTAAACATTCACTGACTAACTGTCGATGTGTAAGCTAACGTGACTTCGCGCCGCTCCTCGCGCTCCTCTTTCACTAGTGATTCAGATTATTTGGCTCAGCTCAGCTAAAAGAGCTCTTTTGGCTCCCAAACAGCTCTTCATTTAATACCACTCACGGCTTTTGTAATTCAAGCAAGTGTAGCATTGTGTTGACCTATGATTGTATGTGTGCTCATATATCACAAGAACCCCAGAAACACCAGCCATGTTGTTGCTAGGTAGCTAACTAATGAATCTTCTCTGAAGATGAAGGTTGATTGACAGGTGAATTATTATTGGTTGAAATGGGTTAGTTGCTGCTTATGTTAGTTTTACAGGAAGACAAAATGATGGATTGGATTTTGAAGTAAAATACAAAGAAATTGAGTTTTTGTGAATGTTTTGGCATACATTGTTAAATAGGATGTTCTACGTTAAATAGGATTGTAATATAACCAAGGATGCAAATTTAAAAGGTTAAAATGAAATTTTTCATTTCACCTGGACTTTAAATTATTCAATGTAATTATACTAAACCTTATTAAACAGTGTTGAACATTTTATTGGTTCTGAATTAGGTTTTGTATGTTGTCGCTATATACAAGTCCACAATGCTTGGCTCTTAATATCATTAATTAATAATTTGCAAATTTCTTGCTTATTTATAAACTAGGCTACTGTAAGACAGAATAATGGGATGTTATTAAAGATCATCCAGAAATGTATAGAGCTGACTCGTTCCTGAATTGCACATCATTATACCCACTCAGTAGAGATAAGATCAGGTGAGAGCTGTGTATTATTCTCTAACTCCTTGCCGATAGTATTCTCCAAGTTTAAGGGCACATTGCTCAGACCTTTTAGTTTTTATGTTTTAGCAATTTATTCATTTCCTGCTGGTGGTAGTTTTAGTTGGCATTAGAGCAGGGGTCTCAAACTGAAATTGTGTTGGGGCCACTGCTGGTATTGTCATTTCATAGGAGGGCCACTTCAGTGTTCAGGTACTACAAATAAAGCGCAATAGGAGTGGGAGTAAGGGCAGGAAAAGCTGGCTGGCAGTTTGAGAACCCTGCATTAGAGCATTGATCACTGATCCACTCAGTGAAAATGCTATTTCTGCCATGACTCATTGTTATTTGTAATTTTTGGGTTCAACACAAACAAGGCTCTTTCTACTGCGAGTGCATTGCAGAGAAATGCAGTCTTTATTTACTTCATCCCTACAATGACATACAAAGTTAATTCACTTTAGCTGGAGACAATAACATAACAGTAAACAAAAGCTGTTGTAATATCTCCACACCCTATGAACAGTCACCATTTTCATTTAACCACTGTCTTTTACTATCCAAGTAGGTTTTGTGCCAGAGAAATCGTGCAGGGTTGCCAAGGGTCTGCAAAGTACTTGAAAGTGCTTAGAGTGCTTTGTTTGTATGTATGCTTTGTATCTGGGTCTATATTAAACTGGCCAAGTTCCTTGAATTTCTACTACCATTCAAGGCTCCTAATTTTGGAATAATTTATGGACTTAAAAAGTCATTGAAATGTATCCTTATAAAAGTGGCAACTCTGCATATGAATCCTTTTTGTCATATGTATTTCAGTTTTGGAAGGCACTGACAAACAATGTCAGAAACAGAAACGACTCATTTTTCAAACAGTATTTTTGATATTTTTTCATTTGAGCCTTCTGTCTCTGTATCTGTGTCTTTTTCTTCCAGAGACATTCTGGAGATGACTGACGACTGTACTCAGGAGCGCGAGTGGAATGGAGATGAATTAGACGAGTCAGACGATGACTCCGTAAGCTTGCTGTGTGATCTTAATGCCTGCCGAAGCAAAGGGGCAGCTGAGGACATGGAAATAAGTGATTTAGATTCACAAGTCTGCAACAAAGAGTCGAAAAAGAAAAGGAAGATGAATGGACTTGAACCGCCCGACCCATATATATCCAGTTGTATCCAGTCTGCAGCAGGCCATGCTCATTCTACAGCTCAATCCGGTATCGATGTTAGAATCTCCTGAAACATCATGTTCCAACAGAATATCGTTGCCACTACGGCAAAAAAATATCTGTGCACTTTCCTGATTTTTTAGCTTTTTCATGTTATAACAAGATGTTTTTATGGCATATTTTCTTGTTATTACTAGTTACCAAATGATTGTATTCACAAGAAGCGCTTTTTGTAATAACACCACATCACTTTACCTTACATTGTATTACTAAACTTTCTGGTTATTTCACAAAATCATCATTCAAACATGATCAGTGTTTTAGCTATTAGTTACACCACTAGTTACTGGGGGGAAAGTAATATCATTACTGTAATATTATTTTTAATAACGCCTTACTGCCCAACACTGAACGTGATAAACTGTTATGTTTTTATGAGATATATATTTGCTTTTGAAACAAGAAAAGGGTCCATTATTGCCTGAAGAGACACTGTACTGTTCTCCTAGAACCCATTTTCATTCAGATACCTTGTCAGAGGTCAAGGGACCCCCGTTGAAAAAAAAGTAGTGCCTACTTGAAGTATGGAATCCTGAGGTGGTACAGGCTTATGTGGATTTACACTATTGTTACACAGGAGGGCGCTGTTTATTTTGAGTACAATAAGCAGACACATCTCTTATGTTAAGGTTTCTGCAGGAAATACTGCTGAACTGAAAACAACAAGTGTCCATCTAACAACCAATGCAGGTATAGAAGATGAGAATATAGAACAATTAAGGACACTGACACAGCAATGGTTCCCTTGTACCTGCATGTATGGGTCTGTACGCATGTATTAGTTTAACTACATTTTGCAGCAACTTGCTGTTAGTTCAACTACACTCATATTTGCATAGTGATTTAAGAAATTAAATTACTTTTTTGCCATTTTATGTGTAGTTAACTTCTGAAACAATTGAAACTTTTTTAAACTATTATTTTGTTTGGGCCATAGAATTTTACCTTTGTTTTTCCACTGTAATTGAAGCCCCTTTGACTAATCCCGTACCCTTTTTCTGTGAAGACGATGCATTCGCCAGGCACCCCCCCCCACCACACACTTAACCTTTGTGTAGCAAGTGCAAAAGGGCGGGTGCTCAGTGCTCACACACCAACAACATCATTATAAACCACCATTGGTTTATGGGTGTTTAACCAAGAATGGTTTATGTGTGACCTGTGAACAAGCGAGTGGCATTTTTTATTCTCACATGTATTGTATTTTATTATAATTTAGTATCACGTGTACATTGTCAATTTGATCATTTTTTCTCCAGTGTAAATGGAGGAAGTTGAACTTCTTCTGATCTAAAAGAAAACAGTTTAATTTGGTATCTAGTAATGACAAGGAAATACGTCTTAGTAACTTGAAAAATATCTTGTTATAATGTGAAAAGAATCTTGTAAAAACAAGAACAATTTCTTCTCATGAGGAGAAACTGCACAAATATGTTTCTGTAATTTTGGCAACTGTATCACTGTAACTGAAAGTACTTTTCCCTCTGATTTGTGTGAGTGTTTGTTTGAGCATGTTTTATCTTTATTTTCTTCTACTCCTACTACTAATTTTATTCATCCTCAAAACAGCGAATGCCTCGCAATGTGTGAAAATCCACAGCAAGAAACAACTTAACAAGAGAAATGAAAAGGGAGAGACTCTCCTGCACAAAGCATGCCAGAGAGAAGATCTGGCACAAGTCAAAGCACTCATTCAAGCCGGGATCAGCGTCAACATAGAGGACTACGCAGGTTCGTCACAGCTTAGTTCGTTTGCACTTGATTGCTTGTATATTCTGAGATATCTTACCTTAATTGTCAAACACAAAACCGACTTTTATGAGTAATTGTTGGCTTGAATTGTCAGGCTGGACAGCCCTCCATGAAGCTTGTGATGCGGGTGATGAGGCAGTGGTTGAGGAGCTGTTGAGGGCCGGAGCTAATGTTAACGCTAGAAGCTGTGATGGCGTCACACCCCTACATGATGCCGTTACCTCTGGACACTATCAGGTGATGGAGAGACACTGAATGTTTTCATTAACACTTCCATAGAGAGTGTGATGTTTTCAGAGTTTGAAATAAAGGATGTACCATTGTCCAGGACTAACAACAAATTTAATGATTTATTTAGACCATCAGGAAAAGGGTGAGAAATCTATTCAAATATATATATCGTAATTCATTCCCATGTATACTGCACAGCCCTCACAGCTCTTCTTTCACTTTCTCTCACTTTTTCTCTCTGGATTACGGTGCCCCTCTACCTTATATTTAAATAGATTTTAGTTTGATCTTGTAAATATTAAAATTGTTTGTTCTTACCCTTCCTTTTTTTAATTGAAATATATATGATGTACTAAATAATAATAATGTATTGTGTGATGTGGGTGATGAGGCAGTGGTTTATAAATCGCCATATACAGATCAGAAACAGGTTTAATTTGCCATGATAACTACTTTGTTGGACAATATATTGTCCCAGAAATAACTGTGATTAACAATATTATCATTTTAAGACCATTTTATGCCACTGATATAATGATAAGCATAACAATGAGTAATAATAGAGATATAATAGTTGAATAATAGTAATTTTCCTGTTCATTCATGATGCTGGTTATTCTAGCACTAAAACAAACATACATGTAAACACACGGGGTATTAGCTAGGTCAGCAGTCAATAATGTAATTATTGTGACAGGCTTCACTATACAGCGGGGCTTCTCAACTTAGTTTATGGTCCTGAAATTTTCTTGACCTCAGTTATACATGCACTTCCTTCCCGAGGAAAACCTGCTATTTTCAACTTTTCAGGTCCTGAACCAGGTTATTTTTGGTCGAAATGCTCTAAACACTGGCGTGTGCACCAGACTGGAGACCGTTCCATGTTAGAGGAAACGGCATACTAGTGGATTTTGTAATAAACTGAATAAATCGTTCTTCAGCTTTGTTGGATGCTGATGGAATAAGAGTGCCCTCCAGTGAAAACAGGAGCATTGACACTGTAATGTTTGGATTTCATTGTTATTTTTGTACAGTATCAAAATCTACAGGCTAACAAGACGTCATATGTGTGTGCCGTGTAGGTAGTGAAGCTTCTACTCCAGTATGGGTCAAACGCCAGTGACAAAAATGTCGGTGGCCTCAGCGCACTGGACATGGCGGAGGAGGACAATATCAAAGAGCTACTCTTAACTTTCCAAGCATCTCCTGTCATTCATGAGCACCTTTGTGAGGCACCTGCACAGTACAGACAGGCAGGTGAGCCCCCTTCCACATTCCATATTGGACTTCAGAAATCAGTCTGTTTTATTTGAGTACATGTGTTTTGCCATTAGGTTTTACTCTGATGAAATGCTTTGAGTATCACACACTCACCTCCTGTAGTTTTGGACGCTGGCTCTGAAGCTTCTTGCTTCCTCTTGAGCACAGCAGCTGCAGTTAGCTGGTTTCACTGCAGTTACCGTGGATTCCACAGCTGACCTGGTTTCACTGCAAAAACACAACAAGGTTTGCTTAACTTGGTTGCAAACAACAAATACTTACAGCCAACTGAGCTAGTGACTAAAGGCCATATTTTGGAACATGTGAGCGCTTTGAGAATACGGATGCACAGTACAATGCTCTAGTAGTTAGAAAAGTTATTGCTTAGATCCCTGTTTTTCTAAATACACTGCAACCTTTCAAGCCTTAAAGTATTAGTTCGGATTTATTGAAGCAGGGTTGAGTCGGTGTATTACAAAAAGTATAATATTTTATATATATATATATTATATATAATATTTTACCTCTCCAAGGAACCAGACTCATTTGACAAAAGTAGTAATTATACCTTGCAGTTGCTGGTACGCTAGCAACTAATGCTTGTTGCTAAAACACCAAAGTCACACAATAACAAACAAATGAACCAACTGAGGCAGCTGTAAACCAGCAACTACGTTGTGAGGGGAAAACTGTTTTTGTCAATGGAGTATGGTGGATTTGAAGAGAGCATAGATCAATATATACACTTGAGTTTCTTGTCAAAAAGGGCCGTGATGGCAAAGTAAAGCAGTGAAAATATTTTCAATAAAGCATACAGTAAAACTAATACAGATTGTTTTAGGTGGGCTCCTCTTATGTGGCTAGAATACCTTTTGCGGAAGCTCCCGTTCACAATGCAGTGCATTGCTTAGCTTCCATGCCGTAACTCCTAGGTGCACTGATGGCAAGTAGGTAAGTAGTAGGTGAGTGTTTGATACTGAAAACCTAGCTGAGCATTGTTTTAGATTTGAAACAAAAAGACTTTGGCATAGAACCCACGCTGAGGCCTGTCATGTCATTTACAAGCCGCGTCCTGACCTCATCATGAGTTTTCCCAGATGCTACAACAATCAGATAAAAATAATCATTTGTTTTCATTGAATATTGCAGTTACTCACTCCAGTCACTCCCCCACATAAACAGTCTGGGATTAGATTAGTCAATGTTGTGTGTTCACTGAACACATCGTGTTGGATCTATTGCTTTTGGGAAGTTTGGGAAAACTTAAAACTTTGGATTTCTCAGTGGTGATATTGCGGCTGAGATCTGAGTGTGGGATTCTTTCAGGTGACACATCCTCAAAGGCTCGCTGCCACATGCAGCTCTCCTGCCAGAGCAGCTTCAGTCCCAGCCACAATGACACGGCAAATGCACAATCCAGAGAATCAGGTGACAGAGACGGAGCCAGAGAGCCCGGTGACATTCAGCTGCGAAAGAAAGACACCACCGCTGATAGTGTGAGAGCTCTTTACACTTTGAATTCCTTCAGACTCAAGTGTGCATTAATGTCAGCTGAGGCTGGATTAAATGTACATAGACAAAAAAGGCTCTTTAACCATTTATGGCACAGGTCCAGTCTGATGTCGTCCCTCTCTTTAGGAGACACGCAGCAGCTTCACTGGTTTTACAGCTTTGAGGTGTCACTAATTACCTTTTTTTATAGCTGAGTCATTCGGTGGCCGTAACAGCGGTTTTGGAGGATGTGAAGAGGAAACAAACCGAAATCTCAACTTGGCCTCTGGCAGGTGTTGGTGATACAGGTAGAGCAGCAGCAAACAGTCCAGCCTGTCGAGTCAAGGCAGTTTTATTTAATAGACAATTATCACAAACACCGAATTCACAATCTACACACCCTCTATCATTAAACCCTCGCTTCTTATAAGGAAAAACTCCTTTAATGGGGGGAAACTTGAAAGAAACATTGGGAAGAGCAACAGTGGATCCCTTATCCAGGACAGACAGACATGAAATAGATCAGTGGTTTTCTATCATTGAGTAAACCCTGACTAAGTGCTATATTTTATGGATATTTCCTATTATATTAAGTGTATAACAATAACAGTAGAGAAGAACAGATCAACTGTACAATGAACCCAAACAGTGAACACAATAACTGCACGAAGGTTGTGTAAATTGGGATACATTTTAAGCTGATTATATTCTGTGATTATTGCATAAGAGATGGGTTTTACTGATATTTTTAGTAACTTTTTATACAATTTTAAATTTCATACATATCTAATAGGCTTCTTTTTTTTGAAAAAATTCAGTGTTTTCTTCTCATTGTTCCATTAGTTCTTTGGTTGTTTTACCAGCATACTTCAGGATGAGGCTGCTAATCAGAGAGTGAAGGCTCAGTGAATATAGCTTATGTTCAGGTCTTGAACATTTAGATCTTAAATAATAATCTAAACTTTAAAAATAACAATTTCATATAGTTTTCTTTACACAAATGAACAAAATGTTGCAACATAGGTCATCAAAATTATAGATTGTTAACAAGACTGGATCCAGGGGGAGGTCAAGCAACTGACCTGAGCCACACAAACTCCTCTACCAGTAATATTGCTGCCGCTTCACTGGCAGCTGCAGTAATATACCATTTACATTTTAATGTTTTAAGTACACGTGACAATTATACACCATGATACAATAGTAATGCAAAGGTGATTATGTGCCAGCTTGGTTTCAAGTAACAACCACACACATACTGAATGTGAATGATTTACTGGAGCTCTGCTGTTTTTCAGGAATATTTCTCTCTGCTCTGATACATGTCCAGAATGTTCTGATTGAAGTGCTCGCCAAACAGCAGTTGGAGAAGGATAATCTTGCCAAAAAATGCCGGTCAGTTCATCAACTTCTCTCCTCCTTGACTTAAGTGAAGCTTTGTGAGCCAGCAGCAAAGCTATTGTATTACACAATGCTGTCATTTTCAGAACATGGCAACATCACATAAGTGAAAGTTAACTACTTACTCACACTGCACAGTATATGCATGCAGTCAGTTGATTGTAAGTCTTTATGGACATATTTACATAAATAATAATAACAAGTACACAGTTATAATGCAGCCTGACATAACACTGTCTTTAACAACTACTGCACTGATTATATGATCATATGAGCAAAAGGATGGTTTTAGTGAGACTACACCAGTCTGATTCTCAAACAGACAATTGCTAATTTATTTACATTCATTGGTGGAAAACAGTGGACGAAGTATATCATCATTAGGTTGTGATACCATGTGCTTTACATGAGAAATAAGTTAAACAATGTTTGGACAGTGTGCCTAAATATATGTCTCAAATTGAACCCTAAAACAAAGCAAGGTTTCACAAACACATAGTGTTGAAAACATTACCTTGTCCTGGTGTCTCTTTAGTCTGAGACAAGTGCTGATTTCACTGTAAATAAACCCCTTAGGCTACATTGCACTGCAAGCCTTAGCGCTTAATTCAGATTTTTTTTGTTGGGCTGTCAGATAATTTTTTAAATGTTACCAATGTCAGATTCTGTGTAAAAGTACAGTAATATGCCACACAACGTCACATGCAACACACTGATGTATGGAAGTTAACATGGAGGCCACTGTCAGCGTGTACAGTTTAATTTATAAGTTGATGTGCAGTGGAACCTAGCGATTTTGTGAGCAGATGATTATGAGGACGTGGCCCAAATCAGAATTGAAAAGATCAGATTCCATGTGATTTGTAATGTTCACTCTGTAAGAAAAAAACAGATCTGTGTCACATTTGAGCATACATAGCCTTACAAGGCTATCACAAAATGAACAACATATCCTCACTTAAAGGACCAGTGTGTAGGATTTAGTGGCATCTAGTGGTGGAGTTTTACTTTGCACCTAACTGAGCACCACTCACATCTGTATTTGATGACCTGGGAATCAGAAAGGGCTGTAAAGCGGGTAGGAGAACGTACCGTGGCTGCAAAGCTCACAGAAAACACAAAAGACCCTATCTACAGTCAGTGTGTGGTTTGTCCGTTCTGTAGAAACATGGCGGTTCAACATTATTATAGATTAAATTCAATAATGTGCGATTAATTTTTTGAAACATTACTTTTTGATGTCACTAATTATGATTCATTTTCACCCACATTGCTGAGATCTGAGGACATGGTGACTCTGCAAGACATTCGGGAGGTTCCAAACAAGCCCACAATTTAACCATATTATCTAAACCACTGATGTGGAGATGGAAATGAGGCAAAGCTAAAGGCTAATTGAACTTATTTCTCAAATCGACATGTTTTGAATGTCCTTTATATCTTCCTGATTGGCAATCTGTAGTTACCTTAGCTGTGCACAGCTTTAACATGCAGTGGATAATTACTGTGAATGTTTTTGATACAATCACACTCATAGATCATTTCTGAGATCATTTCCGGGGGTTGCCAAAAGTGGTGCAGGATGAGAGACAGGAAGCAGCTTTCAGCAATGTCATCCCTTTAATGAACAGGGGCCAAGAACTCAAAAACACAGTATACCATAGGCTGTATTTTTATCAGTTCAGTAATATGAGAATGTATTTCTATCTATTATTGTGCTATTAGGCCTTGTGTTAAACTGGGTTATTAAAAGTTGCTTCATAACCAGACCTCTGCAAATGGTGATAATGTAATAAGAGCTACGGTTGATAGCCAAAATATAAAAATTTAAACCAGGTTTAAATAGAAAAAAAAACAATAAAACCATAAAGTCTTCAGTTGTTTCACTGTTTTGTTGTTGCTTTAATTCTTTCTGCTGGAACAATAAAGGTCTGAACCCAACTGAACTGTGCCACTCCTCTCTCTCTCAGTCTGACCTGTCTCTTTTCACTGTCATCTGTTTAGTAGAAGTGAAATTCAATGCAGTTAGTTTCTCGCTTTAAAAAAATATTGTGGTTTCTATTAATTGCTGAGGTGAGTCTTTCTTATGCAGTGTTTATACAATTCTTCTGAAAGAAACAACTAAAGGTTGCTATTTTCATTGTGCCAGCACACTGCTTATAAATAAAAAGCAGTATTGTTTGATTCTCTGTGCAGGAGTGTGTCCGGCTTCCTTCGGCAACGTGTGCTGAGAGGTCAACTTGTCTCCATCGCTTCACACCAGAGGACTTTGGTGGAGATTCTCCAGAAGCAAATGCAGTTGGTAGAAGTGTATGTAACGGCAAAGGCCAAACTTTCCCCTCCAAACCATGTGAGCAGTACCGTAGCGAAACTGCATCAAGATCACAGCTATAGTCAAGAGAGTCAAAGAAAGGAAGGCCATAGTACAGCAACACAGGCCCAACTGTTAAGATCAGCTCCTCCAAACAATGCCAAGAACCTTACAATGCCCAGACCTCCTGCTTCATTACTAACGCAGGGGAAGAAGATGCTGACACATGCTGATGTGCTGAATAAGCAAACCAGCAGCTGTCAGAGCAACGCCCTGCAACCGGGAAATACTTCGCAATACATCAGCTTTCAGATAAGAGGAAATAATGCCCTGATACAGACAAGAGCTGAGGACAACAGCAGACATCTCTCTAAGCTAATACAGAGTGGAGTCATGCAAACAGGAAGTACTCTACAGTTGTTGTTGAAGGTCAGGCAAAGCTCTTCTCATAAAAGCTAGTTAATCCTTGTGCAGCTTGTTCTTTTTATAGTTGTCACCACTGACACCACTTGTTCACCAGCAGTTTATAACCCTTCCTAAGTTGCTAAATTATTGTGCTCCAATAACAGTTCTGCAGGCCTTGGTCAGAACCTCTGCCAACGTTTTCCTTTCCTGTACTTAGACATTCTATGTGCTAGGCTCATCAGTCTTGAAAACAAAAGAAATTATGAAGATGGTTCAATGATTAGTCACAGTTATAAAGTCACATCTTAAAGGTCCAGTGTGTAACATTTAGGATCTATTGTCAGAAATGGAATACAATATTCATAGGTGGAAATCGTTTTCATATAGGGTTGCGTAAATCACTGGGGAATAAGCAATATTGTTCTACGTGTTAGAACTGAGCCATGTTTTATCTACCAGAGGAGCGGGTCCTCGTATTACAGAACGTCTGCCATGTTGCATGATCTTCGTCACACGTACCCAGAACAGACAAACCAAACAGAAACTCACAAAAAAAATAGTCTTTTCGTGGCCACTGTAGTTTCTCTTACATGCTTTGAATGGGTGGGTGAGGTGAGGGTGTTGCAATCTGCAACATCTCCACTAGATGCCACTAAATCCTACACACAGGTCCTTTAAGTTCACCAACTAACGATTTATATTAACTAGCTAGCTGGTTAGTTAGCGTTTTGCTAACATCTAGCTAGCTAACTCAAGATGTGACTACACATTATATATTATATATATATTATCATTGCTTTTATCTTTTAACCATCTTCACCATCTTTTCAACATGGACGAGCCTAGCACATAGCATATCTAAGTACAGTAAGTGGAAAGTTGACCCAGGTTCTCTTAGAGGAAAAAAACAACGGGCCTTAGGAATGGTCAATTAAATCTAAAGTCTTGACAAGAAGGGTAATAATTATACTCTATTCATCCTTAACATCACCCTTTTAGTTATAGAAAATGTGTTCAAAGTCCATGAAAATGATTCCTCTACAGGCACATACATAATGTGTTTATGTATCAACAGGGCCTTGAACATTGACTGGTTGATAAACCTTTCCTCTGCACTTTGTTCCAAAAGACAATGAATCAATTAACGCTGACAGACGTACAGTACGTGCTACTGCAGTACTGGTGACACAGGTTATTTGTTGCCAGTACTGCTATCATTCAAAGGCTGTTTGTCTTGCCCCCTGCAGGGTCACTGGCACCTTGCTCGTGTGCTGTGTGATAGCTCGATTAAAGACAGTAAAGGCAAGTTGCACCTGGCTCCAGAACGCTGGCTGGAGTCTATCCTCGGTAACAACATCCCTGTCAGCTCAGCATACGCTTGGAACAAGGTTAGACAGCAGGCTGCCTTAATCCCTTTCACAACACTCAAAACATAAGAACGGCTCCAGAAACAGGAAATACTTATCTGTTGGCTTTTCAGTGTAACTCACATAAACAGCCTAAGGCCAAGTTCAGACAGACAATATCACTGCATGAAACAGAAGTCTCTTTTCCACTCCTATGAGACCTCTATAGTGGGCTTCTTGATGCAGAAAAAACTTCAACCTGTTCAGAAGGACAAAATGATTGTCCTGTATAAATCACTGCAGTATCTGATAAGCCTTCAAACTCGTGGAACAACCACATATCAACAGGTTTTTATACACAGTCACAGTCCACCACCGATGGAAAACTTGGGGAAAAAATCCTCTTTTGACATAAAGTGGCAAAATGGCTCAAGCAGCTCCAGCTGGTCTCAAAACTTAATCTGAAAGGAGGGACCCACCCCCCCCCCCCCATCTCTACATAGATACATATATATGTGGGTGCTATATATTGAGCGCTGCCAACAGCCAATTTAGTTGACTGAAGAATTCCACAGATTTGTTACCTTTCTTAGCTGTTGCTGTGGAACAAGGTTCACCTTTCTGCTGTTTCCTGCCTGCCAGTAAGGGTCTGTGGAGACAGGGCAAGACACAGCATTAGGCTGTAAATTATTGAGTGTTCACAGTAGGACTGTGCACCAGCACACACACACTCCTGCTCCATATCTTCCATCTCATTGAGAAAATTGTAAAAGTGTAGTGCTACAGAGGCCTGTTGTTTCAGAGTAATGCTGAAAGACATTTGATAGGCCCTCAGGTTTCACATATCCCACCATATCATTGACACTCATTAATAAGTCATTATTCATAAACAGACATGTCAGTGGTGTTAAAAGCTATTACCGATGGACTCTTTCCACTGTTTCCCCAGGTGACGTTCAGAGACAAACCTTTGTCTCATTACTTATTGAACATGGAGACTGAAGGAAACACTCCACAGACATATCCTGAGGACGACGTTCAGCACCTGAAGGCCGTTTCTTCTTGGGAGATGCTGACCACAGGTCTGTAGTTCCTGTCTGCTGACATGCCTTACCCCGGCCTCAGCACAACATACTACATCCTGCCTATGACATTTCCTTCAGAGCAACTCAAACAAACAAAGCGAGGAAGCAGCCAGTCACTGAAGCGTGGCTTTTTCTCTGTCAATAATTAATCAGCTACCTCACGTCTCTCAGCTGGAGCCTCTCTGACCACTGTCACAAACAGCCTCATTAAAATGAATCGTACCTTTATATAAAAAAAGACATTGCACATTTTTCAGTTCCTTTTCCTGTTTTTTGCAGAGGCATCCTGCTTGAGCCGTCTCATGAAAATCAAAATAATCCATTTGGTGGAAGATGACGAACTGCTGCCAAACGCTAGGCTGAACATCTACTGGGAGAAGCTCTTGAAGAAAGACTATTCAGAGTCTGAAGACTGGGGGAGTGAATTATTATAATGATCTCTCCCCACATTTTGACCATAACGGTTTGAGAGTTTAAAGGACCAGTGTGGAGGATTTAGCAGCGAAGTGGTGAAGTTGCAGATTGTAATCATTTAAAAACAGCTCAGCCCTCCAGGTGTGTAGGAAAAAACTCTAAAAAGCCCCTGTTTACAGCCAGTGTTTTGTTCCCGTTCTGGGCTACTGTAGAAACATGGCAGTTCAACATAGCAGACTTTGCATGATAAACTGACTGTACTCACGATTGGGGGGAGGGGGGGAGGTACAACAAAGGGTTGAAAAGTATTATATGAGTTTGTTGTTCCTTATTTGTACTTACGGTTTCATGTTGTAACTGTTTATGTCAGACAGCTTCAGCTCTATTTGGCCATGTGGAAGTAGTGTGTAGTTTCACACTCCATGGATACACACTATATCTCTAAACTGTCTGCAGTGCCTACAGTATTTGCATTGTTAACCGTTTCACTGTTAAAACAATAAAGACTATAAGATTATGACGGTGTTTGGTTTGGTGTGGTTGTTGGAGCCGTAGGTTGGAGCTGTGTGTTCTGGCCTCAGGCAGTGTAAAGTCATGGCGTACTGTAGACCGTGTGTCCACAGATAAGACTGTACGGGGACTCTGACGGGCTGCCTGTGTGTGCTTGCTTGTGCTGAAGACAGTTAATCATTAGTGAAAGGGTGGTGAATGTATCGGGTGGTGGTGATGTGCTGGATGTGGGCAGGCGGTGAACTGCTGCCGGGGACTCCCCCCCCTCCTCTCCTCTCCTCTCCTCTCCCCTCCCCTCCCCTCCACTCTGCCCTCCCCTCCTGCCACTCCTCTCAGTAGTCGCTCCAGTCCGCGATGGAGCCCCTGACATAGCAGAGGAGACTCAGGACGGCTCGGCTCTACCGAAGCGCACTTTCTTTACGCATGTGGTAAGTTTTGTGCTCCCTCGCCTTCTTCTGTGCTTTTCCCACTTCAGCCAGTGGACGGGTGTGTGTTTGTGTTGGAGGGCAGACTGGTTGTACTGCTCGTCATGTGTTTGCTTTTGGATAAAAGCAGATTTTTCAGGCGCTGGTGCGTAATGCAGAGACGCATAGTTTGATTCCAGAGCGTCTAAGTGCTCTTCATATATATAAAGCAGGATGTTTCCCAGTTTGCCTCATTCGCCTCTTTCCCTCCTTTCCCGTCCTCCCTCCTTGGTTCTCACCCTTTCACTCACTGCACAAATGTCTCGTTATATGAAGGTCCTCACGTGGAACTGTGGGAGAAGTTTGCATGGCACGAGAGCGGCTCAAAGACAACTTTAGAGAGCAAGGTAATTTACAGCAGCTTCTGCCCTTATGGATGTCTTTCGTTCTGTTTTACTGGCTTTATAAACACTGTTATCAGTTCCCACAGTGGGCTTGCTCGTTTAAGGGTAGTTTGATTTTTTAAAAATATTTCGTTTTAGTTAGTAGTTTCAGTATCAGTGTGCTAAATATACCATGGCTTTCCGAGGAGCTCCCTTTTTTTGGTACGTCATCCTCCGATATATAATAATCAGTTAATGACATACATCAATAATAACCTCATTTTATGCAGAAGCATGATGATAAAGATACAAAAAAAGAAGAAAGAAATGGGAATATTGCACATTATCAATATTTTAGGTGTGTTTTCAGGGGAGCTCATTTTTTATAATTTTTAAATGTAGTTTGCACCCTGTTTAGTATTAGTTTTAGTAATAGTGTTAGTATTTCAGAATAGCTATTGTAATACAAACACAGTGACTCAGTCATAAAGACTTCGCAGTCTCAATAAACATAAGCACCAATGCCTCCTCATGCTTGTTGTGTCGCCACATTGGACCAAAAACTAAAACAAAAAAATATTGCATTTTTATATTTAATTTAGTTAATTTTGTAAGTATAAAATATTGTTTCACTTAGTCTTTGTTTTTTCTAATGTCAATTTCTTTTTTTATTCCACTATAGTTTTAGCTTTTTTTTAGTTTTAGTTAACTTTTATAACCTTGATGTTGATCTTGCCTCTGATTCTTACAAGAATTTCATGCAAAAACTGTAAGGATGACTAAAACTGTATTAAAGTAATGCAACAATGATAATTCATATCATGCTGTCATCACTTAAAATTCTTTGGATATTGAACCCACTTCATTGCTCTTCTTTAACAACCACCTACAGTAGGTAACTACATAATAAAGCCGGAATGCTCATTTTCATGTATTTTTCTATCCCTTTGTTTATAGAATGAAAATAAGATGTGCCCACTACATACATAGAGTGAGACACAGGTGCTTCCTGTTTTCTCTGTCTCTTCTGGCCGTCTGTCTGCTCAAGCTGGTCTACATTAAAGTGACGGTGAGGGACGGCATCTACATCGAGCCCTATGGAATCACTGCCAGCTTATCAGGCATCCACAACCGCAAGTATGACGTCAACTGCACCGCCATCTACGAGCTCGACCCAGTGGAGATAGGAAAAGCTCTGGAGATAAAGCGGAAAGCCATTGTTGACGTGGACGATGATAGCACTGTGAGCTTGACCGCGGACTGTCAAACGTTTATCAAAACCAGGGGTTACAATGAGGTCCCGGTGTCGGATGCAGAGCGGAGCTTCCCGCTGGCTTACTCCCTGGTGGTGCATAAGAATGCACCCATGGTGGAGCGGATTCTCCACGCCATCTACGCGCCTCATAACATCTATTGCATTCACTATGATCAAAAGTCCTCCCCGGCGTTTATAAAGGCAATTAAAAACCTGGCTCAGTGTACTCCAAATGTGTTCATTGCCTCAAAATTGGAGTCTGTGGAATATGCACACATCAGCAGGCTTAATGCTGACTTAAACTGCCTCTCTGACCTGCTGAGGTCGGAGGTCAAGTGGAAGTACGTCATCAACCTGTGTGGCCAGGACTTTCCTCTTAAGTCAAACTATGAACTGGTAATGGAGCTGAAACAGTTGAACGGCAGTAACATGCTGGAGTCCAGCCGACCCAGTGAACTCAAGAAACAGCGCTTTGGCTTCCAGCACGAGCTGAAAAACGTGCCTTACGAGTACCACCGTATTCCCGTCAAAACCACAGCGGCCAAAGATGTTCCTCCTCACGGCATTGAGATGTTCATCGGCAGCGCATATTTTGTCCTGTCGTGGGATTTTGTGAATCACATTAGCGGCAGCCAGGTGGCAAAAGACTTTCTGACATGGTCTGCTGACACATACTCACCAGACGAACACTTCTGGGCCACCCTTGTCAGGGTCCCTGGGGTTCCCGGACACATTCCCAGATCGGAAGTGGATGTGACGGACCTGAGGAGTAAGACGCGACTGGTCAAATGGAATTATTTAGAGGGTAAGCTTTACCCAGCCTGCACGGGTACACACATGCGGAGTGTTTGCATCTACGGAGCCGCTGAACTTCGCTGGCTCCTCAACTATGGACACTGGTTTGCCAACAAATTTGACCCCAAAGTGGACCCGATCCTGATTAAGTGTTTGGAGGAGAAGCTTATGGAAAAACGTGTGCAAATATGATACTCAAGGGAAGGGAGTAATTCCAGGGTAGGTGCAAAATTACAGAAAGGCAGTGTAAAAAGTGCATCTACTCACTGAGATCCAGGCCAGTCTAATTACTTCGCAGGTTAAGATTTCCCAAGAAAACAGATGATAAAGTCATGGAATGTGCATCGCTATAATTTAAACTATCTGACAATATATGGAGATACATCATTTGCACCAACTGCAACATGAAAACACTGCATTTATAATACATCAGTGATTTGACACAGTGGAAAGTTCCTTTACTTTCATTAAGGAGGTACATTTTACTGATGTTTCTAAATATTGTTTGCAGGATGTTTACTTTTAGTGAACTATTTTTACAATGTGGTATTGCTAGGGGATTTAAATTCTCTGTCGATCATTTTTTCATTCATTCTAATCATTGTCAGTGTGTCACTGACCACACACAGCATTTAATGAGGGACAGAAGGAAATCAATGAAGTGCCTATGTCTACAGGAATAATGTTATTTTAGGTAATGCCATCCTAAAACCAAATGCCACTCAATATCACGTCCATGCTGATCTCGAGTTTGATTTCAGACTACTCTTATTGAGAGTAGAGATGCCAAAGACTCTGTGTTCTGTAAATGAAGATAGGAATTCAGTTAAAAAAGTGTAGATTATTATGAAAGTTTGTAATCTTTGATGATTTATTTATTCCTGAATAAAAGTACGGTGGGTTGTTTGGATTGTGGTCTCAGTCACATCTCTGAACAAGCTCTGGCTTATTAAAGAACAACAAATGACTTTTCATAGCTTCCCCATTTATTCAATATACACTGGAGTATTTGACCACTAGTGGAGCAATGTCTTAATTAGCACATGCCTGTAATATGTGTGTAACAGCGTCCGCACAAAGACACACGATTGCCGCGAAACACGGGTGTTCATGTGAGAACAATGTCGCAAATGGAAGGCATTGGTGCACTTAAGACGATTTAGCACTATGTGTGGTAAAAGTGTGTATATCTGTTCTGAAGGCTAGATAGATTAGATTGCAAGATTATTTGTCTTCAGGGAGGAAATTCTTTTCCACAATCAGTGCAAAGGTTCAGCAGAGAAAAGGGCGAGGCATGCTGAAATGCAGAGACGAGGATAACAGCGCACACTTTCAAACAGCCTGTACTCGGAAGCATTCGTGGTGTAGCACCCGGTTGTAGTGATGGATTTGAGGAATGAAAAAACAGCTAGAGAGAGATGGTCACACCCAGCCTGATTTCTCACTTCAACACATTTGACAGATTGCTATTTGCAGTTGCAATTACAAAAACGCAGCCTAAAAGATCCTGCCATTCGACAACAAGCACTTTTATTAAAAGCACACTGAGGTCTTTAATGAGCTACTTTAAGGCAATGTTGGATTTACCTCCATTTTTGCATTCATTTAAAAAAGTACCTCCATTTTTCAGAGATTAAATTTACTGGACAGTCTTGCTTAGTTATGTCACACACAGGTGTTTCTTTTATTTTGTCAAGTCTATTTATATCAGTGAGGGTAGACAACGGAAACACCTCTCTGTGTGACACAATACAGTTCAACACGCACAACAGACTACACCCTCCAAAATGACCAGTTGAATCAACACCTCTATAAAAACCCATCATTTATACTTTTATTATCTTGTATCCGACTGCATTAGTTTTAGCTTGGTGTACCTAATAAACCAGACATTGAGTGTATATCGCCATTATCATATCAATTTACATTTACTGTTATAGATTTGTATTCACAAACATTAAAAACGGTTTTCCAAATGTTTTATTAGGTAGGAAATGGGTTCAAGATGTGCAGTTGGCTCGTTGTTTACCGTAAAGACGGTGAAGAATTTAACTGAGTATTCTGATTTAATGGCCAGGGTTGGGAGGGTTACTGAAAACAACACAATCCCACACTATAACTAATTTTGGTACTTCAGTGGTGTCACCACATTGAAGTAATGTAACTTGATAACTTCCTGTTATTTGGATTACTTCTACACTAAATATGCAAATAATAGCAAGAAAAAAATAAGTATCAAAAGGATGACTTTTACACATTCTATAAAACAACTGAATAATATAACCTTTACCAAGGTTTTTAGCTTTGTGTCATCTGCTTAGTGTATTTTTTTAAGAAAAACTTTAACATGAAATATTAGGGTAAACACAGGTGTTACCACTGATACTAATTAAGGTTCAGTTTCAGTTCAATTCAGTTTTATTTGTATAGCGCCAATTCATAACAGAAGTTATCTCAGGACCACTTTTCAGATAGAGCAGG